TTACTTTATTCAGTTTTTAGCTAAAAACAAATTACAGGCTTCGGAAAAACCTGCCCTTACTGATAAAAACTGACTGACTGACTGGCTGAGGACTGACGACAGGTAAAAAAACCATAAGACCACCCACATGACTCAAGACTTATCTAAACCCTACATATTTATACTGTGAAAGACACCCACTTCCCAAACTAAAATCAATTAACTAATTAAGTGAATTACTAATCAAAAAACTTATTTAGAAACAAAATAAACATTCTAATTATAAATCAACTAGAAAATATACAAATAAACTAAATAATCTACATTCTAAACTTTAACTGAAAATAATGGAGAAATAGCTCCTACACTTTTGATGAGAGTTCACAAATATTTCATAAAACATGACTAGCAGATGTGACCTTATGGTAATTTTTCTATAACATCCCTAAACATGCGTTTTTGTCAAGAAAAGTAGACATTTTGTTTTGTCTTTTCCTTATACAAACCCTCCTTCTTTTGTCATTTCTGTGTGCATCTTTTTGTTTATGAGAGCTGGCTTCTATGTCCAGAACATTTAGTAGTAAAGTGTTTAGTACATTTAGTAAAACAGTATATTGTGGCGTACATAATGTATGTATTTCACACCCGGATGTAAACTCTTATTGTGAAGGGCAGAAGGTGCGGTCGTCTTCTTACCTGATGAAAACAGTTCGCTGTCACACCAATGGCTGCCAGCCGTTAGGTTTGACAGCTGCCGTTCTTTGCTGCCGCCTCTTTCCTCGTTTAATGTTACACAGCAAAATGACACGTTTGCTTTTCATCCTACCGCGCAGAGTCCTGCGAGCATTTTTAAAGTGAAATAAAGCGAATAAATGCAGTATCAGGCTTCCACTTGTCCGGTAGTGTTTGCTAGCCAGAGGCTCGAGCCGTTCACAGCTCCTCTCTTCCGGTCGTCGATATTCGCGGTCTTCGGAGGACCCGGATGCAGACCCGGCATTCGGACACACCTTTTTCCCATAAGTCTAGGAAACGTCACTTATTACGTGAGAACATAGAATTCGGCGGGTTTGATGTCTATGACGTCCCAAACGTCAGGATGTTTATTTGCACTGCATTCTTCTCGAGCCCTCTGTTCGCCCTCGTTTGTCTCAGAGCCCGGATTAGTTCCTATTCATCTCACCGTTAGAGCAAACTTTTGGCAAGCAGAATGAGTTCTCCAATTGTCGAGACCCAGCGCGTCACGGTCAACGTGCTTAGGGGGCTGGTGCACCCACTGTTCATCAACTTGACCTGGATGGAGTACCTGCGTCTGGCAACAGGGGACCCTGCTCGCACCACTACCTGCGTTCTGGTCAGGATATTGAAAGACATCTTGGAGCTGTTTGTTGCGAACGCTCTGGAGAGTGTTCCGATCGACAACTCCACGATCGAAGAGATGGTTGGCAACAAGTTGCCAGAAGCTTTTGCTAAAGTCATCAAGGTTGGTGGAGATTTCCACACCGAACGCACGGACAATTTAAACCATCTCATTGTCCGGTATGTGGTGGAGAGGGTCAATTCCATCTTAGACTCTGACTCTGAGAACAAACGCAGCAATCACGTTGATGACTTGATCAGCGATATGGTCGATGAAGTCAAAGGCATGGTTAAAGACCTTTTTGTCCGATTGCATGCATCTGGCAAGAAATCCAAGAAAGTCGTCCGCCCGGTCGAGCCGAGATCTTTGCTCAAAGGCCTGAATGAGAGGCTCCAGGGTTTTTTCAGGAAGTTCGCTCGGAGACATTCATCACGAGTTGCTCCAGTGAACCTCCCAGAAAACCCTGGACCCTCTCATACCATGACCAAGGCCACGGCTGCCTTGATTTCTTCTTTGGAAGTGGAGGCCAGGTGTGACATCTCACCTCTGGAGCCCGACATTCCTCCAGATGATGTGTCGGACATCATAGATCTGGACACCTATCCAGAGATCCCATCAGCCAAAGACTCTCAGGCCTATCGATTCGAACTGGAGTCAAGATTTGGATTACCCAGGGAGGCCTTCGTTAACGCGAAGACCTCGCTGGGAGAGGATTTTGAGTCTCCAGGTTTGATGAGATTACACCTGTGGAGCATTGATTGCAGTAGTGGGGTGAATTTTTAATTAGTTGTCAGTTAGTTAGATAGTTAGGGATTTTTTACTTGTTCGCTTAGCATTTGGTCGTTTTTAATTGTTTGCTTACTAGTTAGGTCGTTTTTTACTTGTTCGCTTAGTTGTTAGATCGTTTTTTACTTGTTCGCTTAGTTGTTAGATCGTTTTTTACTTGTTTGCTTAGTTGTTAGATCGTTTTTTACTTGTTTGCTTAGTTGTTAGATCGTTTTTTACTTGTTCGCTTAGTTGTTAGATCGTTTTTTACTTGTTCGCTTAGTTGTTAGATCGTTTTTTACTTGTTCGCTTAGTTGTTAGATCGTTTTTTACTTGTTCGTTTAGTTGTTAGATCGTTTTTTACTTGTTCGCTCAGTAGTTAAGTCGTTTTTAATTGTTTGCTAGTAGTTAGGTCGTTTTTTAATTGTTTGATTAGAGTTACAATGGTTATAAAAAGGCTACACCCCTGTTCAAATGTCAGGTTTTATGACAACAAGACAAGCATTTTCGCAATGAAATTGAAAAACAAACAGAAATCTTCCTAGGAGCTGCAGTGAAAATGAACAACGGAGGTATTGATGTTGCATAAGTGTGCACACCTTTTAGAACAGGGAGTGTGGCTGTTTTCAGAGGCTACAAAAGAATTTCCAGTTCATTAAATACACCATGGGACACTTTGAAGACTGTCACCATCAAGTGGAGAAACCATGGTACAACAGTAACATCACCAAGAACAGGACGTCCGTCCAAACTTGACAAGAAAAAGACAAGAAGAAAACTGGTCAGTAAGTTGCCAAGAGGCCGACAGCAACGCTGAAAGAGCTCCAAGAATTTCTGGCAAGTACTGGCTGTGCAGTACACGTGAAAACAACCTCCAATCTGGGCTGAAGGAAAGGGCGGCAAGACAGAAGCCTTATCTTTCAAAGAAAAACACCAAAGCCCAGCTTCATTTTGCAAAGACACATCTGAAATCTCCCAAATATATGTGGGAAAATGTGTTACGGTCTGATAAAACCAAGGTTGAACTTTTTGCACAAATTTCCAAAAGGTGACTTTGGTGCAAAAACAACAGTGCTCATACCTTCACTTACAGTGAAGCATAGTGGAGGTATCATCATGCTTTGGGGCTGTTTCGCTTCAGCTGCAACTGGGGCCTTAGCCAGGGTGGACGGAATCATCAACAGATCCAATTATCAGTCAGTGTTGGCACAAAACCATCGTCCTTCTGTTAGAAAGCTGGAGACGAAGAGGAACTTCATCTTTCGGCTGGACAATGACCCAAAGCTCACATCTAAATCAACAAAAAAATGGAGTAAGATAAAAGCTTTGGAATGGCCCAGCCAGAGTCCAGACCTCAATCCCACCAAACATCAGAAGAGGGCTATGCACAAGAGATGCCCTCGCAATCTGTCGGATTTGGTGCGGTTTTGCAAAGAAGAGTGGGCAAATATTCCCACATCAAGATGTGCCACGCTGATAGAGTCCTTTCCAAAAAGACTGAGTGCTGTTGTGAAAGCCAAAGGTGCTGTATATTTAACCAACCAGGTCATTGTAAGATTTTCACTGAATATTTTTATGCTTTAAAGGTTTCTGTTTGTTTTTCAATAGCATTGTACAGGTTAAAGGTCACGTTAAAGGAGGACCAAGTTGTGAAAATGTTTGTCTTGTCATGTGTTTACATCACTAAAACCTGGCATTTGAACAGGGGTTTTTATATCCATTGTACGTCATTTAAACTTACTTATTTAGTTCTTAGTTTTTTTTATTTGTTAGTTAGTTAGATAGGTTAGTTAGGTCCTCTCCATGGGCTGCCACCTTAACGTGGTGGAGGGGTTTGAGTGTCCCAATGATCCCAGGAGCCGTGCTATCTGGGGCTTTATGCCGCTGGTAGAGAGGTTCTAGGTGAGGAACCAGACTAAGTGCAGCCTGAAAACCTCTTATGATGAATTCTGACAATGTTCTTAGTTTCCGTCGCCCAGACGCGGACCACCGGGGCCCCACTCTGGAGCCAGGCCTGGAGGTGGGATTCATTGGCGAGCGCCTGGTGGCCGGGCTTTCACCCACGGAGCCCGGCCAGGTGGTGAGCCCATTGGAAGGGGAACATGAGTCCCCCCTTCCAATGGGCTCACCACCTGTAGGAGGGGTCAAAGGGCTCGGGTGCAGCGTGTGCACATTAATTAGCATTGACTTAATCCATTCAGTATGATAAATATTGCTAATAAATATGAAACTATGTAAATTGCTTATAATAAGAATAAAGCTATTGCAAGCGTGATGGTTATCATTAGCATATTGAGTCACTCATCTATTGAAACTACCAGTAGGATAAGGGTTATCGCTAGCATGTTGACAAACAAAATTAACATGATTCGGTATGCTGACATGAGTGAATAAATTAAAATGATTCAAATGCTAAGTTTAGCTTAAGTGATGCAAATAGTATCAACATGCTAGTGACTCAATACGCTAACAATAGCCGTCCTGCTAACATTAGCCCTGTACCCATATTAAGCATTTTACATCATTTCATATTTATTAGCACTATTTAACATACTGAATGTCAATGTAAGTAAACATTGACTTGCTTAAATTAAATATAATGTAAAAAGGTCAATGTTTACTTGACTGACTCACAGGTGCTGCTATCACCTGTGATGTCACAAAGGAAACATGGGTCCATGACAATTTCACATTGAATGATGTCAGTGACATCTATTGATGCCATTCAATATGAATGATGTCAGTGACATCAGTAGCTGCAGAATGATGTTGACCACTGTGTAGCTTTATCATTTTATGATGAAGTCTGTTTTGTTTTTGTTTTTTCCACGTTTCTCAATTATTTAAAAAAAATTTCAGCAAACTCTTAATACATAATTTCGCCAGTAACGTCCGTCTCTCTCGTGTCCCCAGGTTGCTTGTCCAGGTCTTCATGCCGGGCAGCTGGACGATGTTGCTGGTGAAAGCCGTCCTGACTGGCGCCGTCTCTCTCTGCTCACTTCCTGTTTGTCACTCAGGTTCACAGCAACTGAAGAAGAAGCAGCAGGTCGAGAAAAAAAAATAACTCCACAGTCTCGACTCAAACTGGTTAACCTTGAACCTCTTTTAAAGCCGTGAAGCTTTAAAGGAGGCTTAAAACAATCGGTGTTGGCGACCTGGACTTGACTGACATGACCCACCAACTGGTTTAGCTTCCAGCTCTTCCAGTTTGTTTCATTGGTTATGAGTCCATGAGTAAAAAGAGCATTGCCTGGGTAACATTTCAGTAAATTAGTTGAAGCCGGTGTCCTGCAACTTTTAGATGTGTGGAGACAAGGTGAGGAAGACCCACCTCTCTACCAAGCAGCCCACCTCCACAGAGCCCCAAAAAGCAGCCCAGCTCAGCAGGCAGCTCTTCCAGACTGTTGCTGCGCAGTCTGGACAGTTGGCTCAACGCTGAGATTCCCCCAGGCAGTGAGCCGATCGAGCTGCGAGACATCGGCCTGTCGCGATAAACAATAAGTCAATTCATCGCACGATAAATTAAAGCTATCGACCTCATTTCAATTATCGGCTATATCGTTTCTTCCGCCATTTTTCTCTTTCTGTTGATGACTTTGAATGGAAAAGGTTAAACGCCGGTGCTCTCCACTGACCCTCCCTTCCTCATTTTCTAAATGCCCATCGCACACTAACGATCTTAAAGCTGTCGGCCCATTTTCAAAGCCTGAGAGCCCACACATTAGCCGACAGAAACACGAGCTATAACGGATCGATCGTGCGGTTGTGAAGGTTGGAGAAGGAGTTAGCAATGGCGGTTAGCCACGACAACCCAAAACAGCAGGACTCACTGTTGAAGTATGCCACACTTTCACTCTATTTCGCTTCGTTCATTTAAAGCCAGATCTCCATTGTACTAAGATTATAGTCTCATACATGGGAAAAGTAACGACAGTTTACCGCTCTGCTCCTCATCATCACCGATCATCTCCTCTACTAGAGTTCTCACTCTGCACAATAGTACAACAAAGGAAAAAGGGAATAGGCGCCCCCTTGTGGTGACACCTGCTCATCTCTAGGAAGCAAACAATATAATGACTGTTACATGGTGTAAATAATGGCTGCAAGTATAGTTAACAAATTTTAAAACCAGGCATTAATCAATGCTTTACTGCAATGCATGTGGCCAGTGTCAGTCCTGACTGGATGAAAATCAAGATAACCTATTTATGTCACGTTATCGAAGAACAGCTGAAAACCTACTGGATTTACCAGGCGATATAGTATACAGACTTCATAATCTGCAGATTTTTGGTTGAATGCAGTATTTATTTCCACTTTGGCTTTATTGTTGAGTTTTTATCCAAGTACATTTGTTGATATAGACTGAGAATCCATTTTGTTTTGGTTTTTGGTTTTATCAGTTCCAGTGTTAAGTGATCTTTTGAAAATAAAGTGTATCTATATTTGGCATGCATTATGACATCATTTCCCTTAAATCAGTGTAAAAAGGTCTTCAAACAATATTATCGTTTATCGCAATATTTTTTGAGACAATTAATCGCTCTACAAAATTTGGTATTGTGACAGGCCTAGCGAGACACGTTTAGGACGCGGAGCTCCAAGCAGTTGAAGAGGTCAGAGGTTAGGCTCATGTTTCCACTCATGTCTAGGTCTGCCAGCAGCCCCAACGCCTTGACCTCAGAGGGCAGCTCAGGCAACAGGTTGCCAGCGAGCAGCAGCCGACGAAGCTGGTGGAGCGTGAAGAGCGCAGAGGGCAGACTCTTTAACTCGTTGTTGGACAGATCCAAAAGCTCCAAGCCTCGAAGGACGCCGATGGTTGGCGACAGCGCCAACACACGATTGTAGGCGAGTTTGAGGCATGAAAGACGCTGCAGGTGGACCAGACCGAGCAGTTTCTTTAGGGTTCTCAAGTTGTTGTGCTGCAAGTTGAGCGTCCGGAGGCGAGTCAGCGCGAGCAAGGCAGAGGGCAGGCGGTCCAGCAGGAGGTCCAGCTCAGCAGGCAGCTCTTCCTGCTGAGCTGCCTGCTCAGCAGGAATGTCAGGTCTGCCATTCGCTTGAGTCCCGTCAGCACAAGCAGCCTTGCACCTTCGTTCTGTATCTCCAGCTTTACCAAGCTTCCTGCCACCTCGCACAGACCTGATGGAACCCTGTGCAGCATCCCATGGATCACCAGAACGCGGAGGTGGTGGAGTTCCCTGTGTGTGTGGGAATCAAAGCAAGGGATTATGGAATGTATGGAAGTTGATCAGGGATATTGAAAAAAAAACTCACTTTAATCTCAGAATTTCTATTTTTGTTCTTGTCAGAATTCTGCAGTTTTTCTCAAAATTCTGAATTTTAGTCTCAGAATTCTGAGAAAGATCATCCAAATTAAGTTTGGACTTTTTTCAATGGGCCCGATTCTCTTCCCTAGGCTAAAGGACGTGCGTCTGATTCCCTGCACATCTCACCTGAGTGAAGTCATGTTTGCCACCTGTGAAGTGAACTTGGCGTCAGCGATGAGCTCCAGTTTGAGGGCGTGCAGCTGAGGGTGAACAGAACCGGAGGGAGGCGAGGCAGGGCGACGAGCTCCGAAATCTAAGGGTGATCGGGTCCTGAAGAAAACCAGAACCAGCAGGCGGAGCATCCCAGAGATCCGAGTCCATGCAGGGACTCACATCAGGATTAACAACAAACACAACCTGACTGCATCTCCACCACAAACCATCTGGCGTCGCTGCAAGACTTTAATGCATCAAGAGTTCAAGTGCGATTTGGTCAACTTCAGCAGCAAGCATTTTGCCACATTTTTTCCATGTGGCCGCGCTGTGAGTAGCCAAGTTGGTAAAATACTTAATGTGGTTCTAATAGTTGGTTAAAAACAAAAATTTAAAAGAAATCAAAAATACTTTGTCTCAAAAAAATGAGGAGTCAAATATGCCAAAATTAATTATATTTCAATTTAAATAAAATTAGAAGAAAATATAGTCCATAAATTAAATCCCAACTATATTAGTGTTGCAATTACTTTTATAATTAAATCCAATATTTGTTTAACTTATTGAAGTCATATCATGGTTAATTTGTTACTGTGAACCATAAAATAAAAAAATCATTAATGAATCAATTAAAAGTGTAACAATGACATTTATTCATATTATATTTATATTTGTCTTTTTTTTTTAAAACAAAACTAATGAAACACATAAATTGTTGCACTTTTAATTCTCCATACTGTCAATCAGAAACTAGATGTTTTCAATGTTATGCAACTGCAGATTAAGAAATGCCACTTTTTTTTTTTTTACTGCTTTTTAGTTTTATTTGAGAACTGAGTAAAAATCAAAGAAAAATAACATACATTTGTTTCAGCAAAGAAAAAAAAAACACTAAAAACATCTTATTTTCACTGTGTTCTTCCAATAGATCCCCTTCAATAAGAATGAAGCTCATTCAGACACAACTCAGCCTCTCTAAATGATAATGCAACAACCATCGGAAGATCCTGTGTGTTTCGTCCCTCAGTGATTAAAGAAGAGCAAAATAAAACTTTCTTGCTGGCATTTTTTGTGTCTGTGTGTCTTGGAATGTTTTATTTACAGAATTAACAATGTATCTGCGCCTGCTTACTCGCCCACAAAATCCTTACAGAAGTCTATCAAAGGCCAACAAATGCACCAGCAAATGCACCATCTCCGGAGTGGGACTCTGGAGATGGGGGAAACTATGTGTCTTCTTGTTTATTAAGCCTTCAAGAATGCCGATAGGAGCATTTCTATACAGTAAGAAGCCAGAGGAGGCCATTGCAGAGACACAATGACCTTCTGCTGTTCTCCTCATTGATAATGACCCAGACACAGGCTCACTGCCCATCTAATAAAGCCCAACTCTCCATCATCTGCTAATAACCCTTTACGCAGCTGCAGGAGTCATGAACAGGCCACTGAATACAGCAAGAGGAACAAAGCTGTGGACGGACAGGAGGCAGGAGAAAAGCAGCCACCTATCGATCTGAGATTGTGCGCTGCCCGGTGGCATGTGGCGATGTCTTCAAAAAGGCACAAAAAACAAAATTTGTGTAGAAGGATACACACAAACAGTGCAAAACATTTCACACAACAATCAATCCTCGTTGGAGACTCATTTCCCAAGCTCTCGGTTGCCACGTTGCGGCACTTTTTCCATAGTTCCAGACTCACAGACACCAAAGAAGGTGGTATTTTTCCAGCAACAGGACAGGTAAACTAATTTCTCATTTCTTAATTGGTACACGGATTCCATCGCTTTCGCGCCTCGCAGCAACCTCTCATGGGGAAGGCTGATTAATTCTCCTTGAAATACTAATAATACACACCCAGCTCAGTTCACATACAGACCTGTGCAAAAGTTTTAAGCCACTCTTTATATTGTGTTTTCAGAGAGGCAGACATTCCTGTAATCCTTCAAACTGGTACTGACTAATAGTTCTTCGTCCTTTCTAGAGGTCTTTCATTGTCGATTTTTGGACTTTGGCTCATTTTAATGCTCATTTTTTGTCCAGTAACGATAATGACACATATAGTGCATTGAAGAACTGGACTCGAATGAATGGAAAAGCTTTAAATTAATATTCTAAGAAAAACGACTGTAAGTTTAAAGAAATTGCTCAACATAATTTTATGTGAAAAAAAAAACAAACACTTCAGGCTCCTGGAAATTAAAAACAAAACAAAACTTAAGCGCAGTTACATCCACATGACAAAAAAAATACCACACAAAATCTTAATGTTTTTGGTATAGTTTCTAGTAAAAATATTTCAGTACACGTGAAACAAGACAAAACTGACTCATAATTAACTTTTCAGTACCAGACATGAAGCTATTTTAAGTCAATAACTGCTTAAAATTGACAAAAAAGTACTAGTAACAAGAGAAATAATCTGCCAGAGGAGCAAGAAATTTTTCCATAATAATCTGCCAGAATATTTTCCCGATTACTAGTGATTTTAATCAATATTGATGAATTATTGACTTCCATTTCTTGATGAATCCACATTGAAAACAGTAAGATGTTTTGTTTTTGAGATGCCGCAGTTGTTCAGTTCCACATTTTCACAGTTTTCGTCCTCCTTCCCGTCACTTGCTCAGCTGGACAATATACCCATAGAGCTGGTTTGAGAAGGCCTGAAGAGAGAACCTCTCCTCCACCCTTCTCCTCCCAGCTAGTCCCATGTCCCTGCGGAGCCGTGCGTCCCTGATAAGCCTCTCCATGGCCTTAGAGAAGGCCTCGGCCGTGGGCTCGCACAGGAAGCCCGTCTCCTCATCAGCTATGCTCTCCAGGGGCCCCCCAGAGTTCACGGCGATAACAGGACAGCTGCAATACATGGCCTCTACAGGAACGATCCCAAAGTGTTCTCTGCTGGGGGTGTACAGCACTGCGGTGGCGGTCTGCAGCAGCACCACCTTTACGGAGTCAGAGGGAGAGCGCATAAAGGTGACGCAGTCCTCCAAGTGGAGCTGCTCAGCCAGTTCATTCAGCTCGTTGTAGTGCTGGACGTTCTCAGTGACTCGGTCATCGTAGCCCCCGGCCACCACCAGGTGAACACCCGCTCTCTGAGAGGGCGTTAGGCTGCATCTCAGGACCGCCAGAGCCTCCAGAGCGAGGCCCAGGTTCTTCTTTCTCTCGTATCGGTTCAGAGACAGAAACAGGTGGGATACTCCCTCAGGAAGCAGACCCTGCAGGCCCTGTGCTTCTGTCGACATCTGATCGAACGTTTTAGTGTTGAGGGACGGGTAGAGGACGTCGGGCTGGACACGGTTTAGACTGCAGAAGGTCTCCCTGAAGACGCCTGCAGTGAACTGGCTGTTCACTAAAATCTGAAAATAGAAATTAGACATTTTTTTTATATCACATCTCTAAGTTTTCTTTGACTCTGTTAGCAGCATAAGCACTGTTGTCATCCTAAATGGCTTGAATGGTTTCTGAGCTTCACCATGAATATCATCTCAAAACATACTGAAGTAATAAACAAACCTTATGGCTTTACTTGAATTTTTTGTGTTAAATCAACAAAACAAAATCCAATAAAACATGTTTTTCTTTACAAATGAAAGTTTGAAGATGGCCGCGCATTAATCTTCACTGCCCTTTCACTGTGATACCTGAAAATAAAACGCAGTGCAATCCCTTTCTAATAAATGACCACACCATTGACATCCCGGGGTCTCGGTCTCTGCTTCCTCGGCTTTAAGTGGTTCCCACAAATGATTGTTGGTGAGACAAGATGTCAGGAGACACTTTAGCGGTTCAGAAATCATCTGAAAAGAGGTTTAAATCTGAGTCCTATGGAAGAAAGCCATTTTTAAAATCTTTATTACCATGTCAGCCATGCCAGTGGTGCGTTCTTCCAACCAGTCAATGGGAGCTCTATAGAGCTTCTTCAGGGCTGACTTCCTGTGGGTAAGCAGCTGGTCCGGAAAGTGACAGTAGAACAGAACTTTCTTCCTCTGTCGGGACAGCCGCAGCACCGGTATACACACCGATACCTACAGAAAAAAGTAAATAAATGTGCACTTGTGTTGAGCCATAGGATTTGATGTAAAACAAAAGACTTCACTGTTGAAACCTCTGAGTTTCAGTGATCTGACTGAGGCGGCTTAAATAAACTCACCTGATCACAAATGATGACATCATACTCCACACCGCTCAGGAAGACCAGGTAGAAGGCCACATAAATCATCCGCAGGTACGCACATAGAGCATGCAGGTAGCCGAATACACTGGTGGGTAGCCAGTCACCAGCACATACCTTTAATACATTTACATTTAAGACAGAAATTTGGACAATTGAGAGTCTTGAATATTTGTTTTCTAAACACGTTTGTATTTTCAGGAAGGACAAAATCTGTTCAGAGTTCATGAAAACAGGAATGGTGCTAAAACATGGCCACAACCAGCTGCTAAAACAAGACACTGATCACAAACACACATCCAAACATGCTTTGGAAGAGATAAAGCAAGCGGATATTACACTTATGGAATGGCTCTGATGTAAAACTATGGGGAAAAAAATGACACCTAATGCTGAAAATCCAAGTAAACCACGTGCTTTAAAGGAACCCTCCCAATTATTATGAGAAAAGGGCAAAATAAGCAGCCAACATTATTCCAAAAGCTTGTTGATGGATGCAAAGTGTCCTGTTTCTTTCTTTCTTTTTTTTTTTTTTAAACACATGTGCTTTTACATACCACAGGAAGATCTGGGTCTCGGGTCTCCGAGAAGCAGTGCTTTGGATCATAATGGGCGGTCCAAATCTGAACGCTGCATCCTTGAGACTTTAGGGCAACAGCAGCATCAACCACCAGTCGCTCTGCACCTCCAATACCAAGATCCGGATGGAGAAACACCACCCGCGCCATTCTGCACATCATAGTTATATAGTACATTTAGAGTATGCATTTCGTTAAAACACTATTTAACCATGTTAAAGTTGTTTATGTTTTCAGCTACATACACAAAATCTCACTACATAAAAAGAAGTAAGAGAAAGTCAGTCTTACGACTTTTATCAGAGCTGAAATATACAATCTAAAAGACAATCTTAACTACAAACAAGAGGCAGACCTCACACGTCTTATAAACTCGAGCGGTTAGCTTGTCTTTAATTGTAGGTTACAGTAAGAATGCACATTGACGGATGAAAGGGTTGCTTCAGCCAAAGTTTGGCGTTTTTACGCATGTGCTAATATTGACGCTGGCTCGAAACCGTTTTGCTAAATTCACATAACCTGACGAGAGCTGTTGCAACCAAAACTCCAAGCAACATTCAACTAAACGCGAAATACGGATATTGTTTACCTTTCAATTTCTCCACTACCTTGTTCAGTTTTGGAAACCATCGATTAAACTCGTCTGATCAGCCTCCGCTATGATGAAGAACTGACAGTGAGCCGCCATTTTGGTTCCAATTCACTGTTGGTTTAAGCTCGTTTGAGTTCCTCGTTTGAACCGCAATGGCGTCAGTTTCCCACAGTGGACCCTTGTGAGACACGTTTCTCTCATAGTCAAGGAGAACCAGTGATTTGCCTTTCAACAATTGATAGTTTATTGTATGCATGTTTTTTTCTAAATTAAGAAAAAGTTTTAGCTATTTCTTTTACAATAAAAATAAAAAACATAAAGCTGTGCAAATTACTATTTTTCTTTTGTTTTTGTGTTGGATCAATTCAATCAGTCAGGCTTCTACTCGGTCGCTCTCACTGGTCCTAAATTTAGCTTTCGTGTCCCTTTTTAGACGTACGTCAGCTTTGTGAGCTCTCTTCTGAAGTTTTGACCAATTTGCTCACAATCTGCGTTTTTTCCTGACGTGGATATCAAATTCAAAGGAGACTCCCGCTTTAGACCTCCATCAAGGAACATAAAACAAAATGGTAATTTTCTTATTTCCATCTAAAAATGTGTATTTTAATTAGCTAGCTTAGTTACATTCATTTAGTGCCATTGGTCGTTTTGTAGTTAGCAGGTTAGCTGAGGACGTGGCCGTTCCTTAGAGATTCTTGCAATTTTTATACGATTTCCTTATATAATGCTTAATGTATTAACATTAATTTTATATATACATATTTATAACCATCACAAGACTACAATTGCTGTTGAGGGCTGTTGAGAACAAGTTTGCTTAAAACTAACATGTTCTAGTGAAGGCAAATAGTGTATTTTAAATGTTATTATCATTTATTATAATTGAATATGTCTGTGATCTAGCCTTTTATCTTCAACATTATGAAAGTATAAATAAACCAATATTTACTCATTCAGTGCAAATGTGAACCTTTCCTGTAACAATATATTGGGACCAAATTAATATTTTGGTTAATGTTTGTTGGAACATGGTTGGTCTGTAATATTGCACTTTTTTTTTTTACTTTTATTGCAATCTTGTGTTAGAATATTATTTCAAAGATCATAATACACTTTTTAAACCCTCTAATATTGTTGTTTAAAAGGTATGGCTTTGAGATTCTGAAACAGTAATTGACCAAAGAAATGTCTGGAAAGCAAATTTATTTCACCTAAATAATGTGTATCTTTTGTTTTAGCCTGGACCAGCCGCAAGTGCAACTAACGTTGGGGCGTCTAGCCGTTCCCCCAGTAAAACAGTGGCTCCCCGGGCTGCAGGCTCTACGGTCAGGCAAAGGTATGTAGTCTAAACTTTTACCTTGAGGACCAGGGTTGGGAAACACTGGATTACATGATCCTACCTTGTGATGGTTTGGATCTTAATGGAGTAAGAAAAGTAAATTAAGCTCATTTTAGGGGGATTATTAGCTGGGCTATCTGCTCAGGAAGTCAGCTTGTAGTTGGCTGCTTTGAGACATGTTGGCCATAGATGTCTCAAAGCAGCCAACTACAAGTAACCATGTTTTTTACAAACTGAACTTTTTTAAGCTGCTGAGTTTTTCTATCTTGTGAGGGAATGAAAAGCCCTTCAATGCACCAAACAGCTGGAAAAAGCTCCGCTCCCTCAGGCACTTTCTCTGGTAACCCTCAATTATGGGTTGTACTTTATACTCAAAACTGGCCGATGCTTAATTTGACATGCTGGGTTGGGAATGGGTTGGGTGGTTTAGACAATATAATATCTGATGCCCACTCTCCTTTGTGCCACAAAACGTCTATGTTACTAGCACTAGTTGTAGATTTATAGTAATATTTACAGAGTACCCGGAGAGAACCCACACATGCATAGGGAGAACATGCAAACTCCGTGTTGTGTTCAAACTCCGATAAATTGAAGGGGTGGGAATCAAACCCGGGCCTTACAGAAGCCGTGGCTTTAGTCATTGAGCTATCTGATTGGTACACATGTAATCCTCTTCTGTATTGTATGTTACCTGGAAAGCGATTTCCAGTAAATAGTGAATTCCAATCAGTCTTTGGTGATATTAATACTGTTCACACTAAAGCTTAATACTGCCAGTTCACACCAAGTCATCTCAAAGTTCTTTACAAGATTCAATTTGTGTAATTATATAAGCATAAAATTAAGATTATATCTATTCAGTTCATTCCAATACAGTCATATCTGTTCAACTCAAATCCAACTATGTACATTCAAATATAGTAAAATTTTAATGCACTCAAATGTCTTTTTAATGTAATGATTATATGATTTTGCAAAACAATTTCTTCTAAGAAACACAACCTGTTTGGTTGACTTTAATGATGTTGCTAATTAAGATGATGGTGATTGAGATATTGTGGAGCCCTACTCAAAAGGTTCAAGTTGATGTTTTAATATATCTTCAATATTCAACATATTTTAGTTGAATACCAACTAAAGAAGGTATAACTTGTTTGTACCTTCTTTCGAATCTGCAAATTTGGATTGAAATCAACATTTCAATATTAAGGTGAATGTGGAATAAGACTTGGGGGCTTTATTTGATAATCTGAAAAAATATTTGGATTAACGGGCTGTTTTTAAACCAGTTTAAATTTTCTAATATCTAATTGTGGAAAATAGAAAATTACTTCTCATAATACAGAATTGAAAGTGGAGGATGTCTTTGATTGTGGGACAGTTATCCTTTACTTCCAACAAAAATATTGACTTTTTTTTCAAATGCATAGATGTTATATTATTTTAATTCTTTCTGATCCCATTTCCATTTTGATTCTTGTTTTTGCATGAAAAATTGAAAGTAAAAACCTACCGTTTACTTTCCAGCCGACTGTTTTTTAAGATTATTTTATTAATTGCTGTAAAAAGCATCGGGTTTCAGGTGGTTAGCTCTTGTTTGCCCCCCCTCATCGATTAAAGTAGATGGATGTTGTCGTGTAGACTTAATCAAAGTGTAATCAAAAGGGTCGCTGCAGTTTCTCTCTCATTATTACCCATTACCACCAATCCTCTTCATTACCTCATTAACCTCTGTTTAATCTGTCCACAAGCAAAGCAGCCATGAATCAGTCTGCTTCCTAGTTATATTAAGATTAAATTCTTAATATTTTTTTTCACTGTTAATGGTTTTTAAATGCCAATGATAACAGGAGCGTAGTTTATACAACTATCGTATACAGATTTGACCGTCTTCTCTTTTTTTTTTTAACTAGTTTTCTTACTACTTAGGAAATGTTTTGTAATATGTTTTTTGTAGTAGGTGGATTAAAGTTGTTTTTCATTTATGTCTGCTTTAGAAAAGCTACCAGCAGCGGCACACGCAGCGGAGCCAGGACCACAGGATCTGCCGGCACCGGCGGCATGTGGCGCTTCTACACTGAAGACTCACCTGGCCTCAAAGTGTAAGTACCACTTATAAAAAAAATAAATAAAATAAAAACACCCTTTATATAAGAATTGCTCCTATAAACTCGCATATGGAGTCTAACATTTTGACATGCTTCACTTAGAGGTGCTAATCTTCAGTATTTCCGACTCTTGGGATGTTAAATGACAGGAAATTGGGCAGACGTGACTCTCTGCTAAAACAATTGATGCTTCTGAGTTTGGGACCTTCGTTATGTGCACGCAGTTATTTGGTGGCATAGTGCATGCTGGGAGAACTCTGATCCTCAAACTTACGTTCTGCCAAATCCTCGGCTCTGATATTAGCAAAGGCATCCCGTCTCCTGGCCGTAAACAGTCGCGGCTGATCAATGGCGCCGTGGTCGTTATTGAGTGCGTCTCTCCAGCAGTCGAAGGAGGGCAGGCCGGCCATACAGTGGTGTATATCGAGTGCGTGTTTGTTCCTGCGTTAGACGGCAGCCTCAAAGCTTCATTAAAGGATCCACTCTGAAAGGTCAACTCAATTACAGCCTTCTGATGGGGAGGAGGGGGGAAGAGGGGAGGCGCAGGCGAAGGTTGGCATGGCAATGCTGCTACCTAGCAATGCGCTCCTCTGCCCAACCCCTCCTCGCTCTCAGAGCCTCCTTCAGAGATGAGAGCCCCTCCTTGTTTCCAAAACTCATCAATAAAATCAGATGCTCACCCTGGTTGGAGCTACTGCAAGTGATGGGATTTGTGTGTTAATCTAGGTTTTAATCAGTGTCTCATTGTTTCGACAGCGGCCCTGTACCTGTGCTGGTGATGAGCCTCTTGTTTATTGCTTCAGTCTTCATGCTCCACATCTGGGGGAAGTACACCCGCTCCTAAACTCCACCTGAAGACATCTGACATCTCAGCTTCTTAACTTTTTGGACCTGGACCAAACAACGAACGAACAAGTTTCCTCCTTCACCATCACTACAACTCTCATATTGGACTTTTGTGGCCATATTAGTTCACAATCTAAATCTGGATCAGACTATGGTAACCGGAATGCAGCTTTTACTCCGAGGTTAGAGGGATGAACCGTTGAGGACGCACCTGAAGACTTCAGAAGTCGGGAGCAGCATGTTTTCCTGCACCTGCTGCATGGAGGACATTTGTGTTTTCAGGCCCCCTGTAAACATTTCTCTTCTTACCTGAGCTTCATTTTTTGTTAACGGCATTTGTACAAAATTTGATTGTAAAGTTGTACAATAAAAATAATTGAAAAAGAAATTGGTTTGAGGTGGTTATTTTAAATTTCCGGAAGATTAAACATTTTGTCAAAGTTTATTTTCATATATTTCTAGCAGAACTCAAATAAAACTGCTTGTGTTATAGACGTTTTGTCCAGGATTTAAGGAGTATTTATCAAAGCTTTTCAATTTTGTTCAATCTTGTATCTTACGATGTTTATATTCATTCTTAGATCCATAAGTCCAATAAGACTCACGCAGGTATGAAAGAAAAGAATGAACACATGGCAGCAAAGAATAAAGCTGAAATTTGCAAAAGAGTGAGATTAGCTTTTGGAGTGCCACTCAGTGTCTCATGAGGAAAAAGAAGTCAGGAAAAATGTGAGTGCAGCAGGTGGGCGACCTAACAAACTTGCTCTGTGGCAAGTCCAGACAGTGGGGCAAATGACCATTGTGACATTAGGTACT